AGACCTTCTTCCCCGGGCACACCGGCTGAAGTGCAACGGCCTGAGCAGGGCCAACCCCTGCACACTCGGATTTGCAGAGATTGTAGAGCCGTCGCAGCGCAGCAGCATCCGCTGTGAGAAGTGGGGCCGATGGGTCAGCCCCCAGCGGACGGCCCACAATCGTAACAATGAAGTGCTCCAGTGCCGCCTCATCCGGCACTGCAAAGGCGAGCAGCGCCATGGAGTTAAAACCTTTGTCCGTAAGCGACTCCAGCAAACCTGAAGGTAGAGTCATTTCCTCGCAACGCTTCTGGAAGTAAGCCGGATCATCATGTCGTGGAGGAGCAGTCATGAGATCAGAGCAGTCCAGGCACGGCGGTGGGGAATCAGACAGCTACGGCTGATTAAGAGAAAAAGGGCTACAGCCGAAGCAGCAGATGCAAGCATGCTCCACACTACACATGCAGATGCAATGAGGCGGATGCAGAGAAACATATGCAAGACGTGCATAGCCCCTGTATTTCCCGCCAAGTCCGATGGAGTCCAGCGGTAGAGAAGGACGCGGCGTGCAAGTTGCACGGCACAGCCCGCCATCCTACAGCTGACTGAACCCGGACAAAAAACCCCTCACATCTCCAGATGCAAGGCCGCAGAGACGCAGCGGTGCAGCTCGCGATTGCCCAGAGCTACTGCCAGCCAGGTTTGTAGTCCGGAGAAGAGGAGCACGCGATGATTGACGTCAACGCTACCCCAAGCAGATTCCCAGAGGGTGATCTCATCACGAAGTAGGATCTCCCGTTCCATGGATGAGCTCGTGCCAAGGATTGACAGCAGCTCTGGTTCATGAAAATCTCTGGGGCGAATGCGAAGCACAGGTCGTCGCGGAGTTTCAGGTAGGTCCTCCAGTGGATGATGAAAGTTGGAAGAGAACGAGGTGCTCGCGGAGTCACTGTCGTAGCTGGAGGATGTATCCATGGCTGCAGACAGCGGCCAAAAAAGCAGGTTCGAGCCAAAAGACCCCAACCTCAATGCAGGTGTGGTTTGAACGGGAGCCCGCAGGCACCGCAGAAACGAGCAAAGCAAGCGCAGAACAAGCGCGAGGCAATGGCTTTGCTGGATTGGCAAGAGATCAGTCAAGGACACAGCCGCGCTTTAAGCACAGCCGAAAGCCTTGAGGCACAAACTCCGAGAACTGGAGTGACTCCACACCGCGAACGCTACATCCTGCTCTGAACGATCTCTGCAGGTGAGCAACTTTCAGCTGGAATGCAGGGTGAGAAGAGCAGCAGGGCTGCGCTTTGTGTGCAATGCGGGAGACACCATTCAGTAGGAAGAAGTATTCATCCGCGGGACCATGAACCTCAGTCCAATCCTCAGCCACACCAGATGAAGAAGAAGCATCAGGTGGCAAGGGCTCCAACGTCATGGAGAGAGCCTCCGCAACAGCCTCCGGCAGCTCCTGCGTAGGTGGAGGCAGTGGAATGGGCGAGGCAGGGGCAACAGCCTCAGCATCGGAGCCGCTGGAAGTGTCCTGTTCTGGTTGAGGAAGAGGGTTGGACTCAATGGAGGGCATGTCTGATGTACCCGGCACCGTCGGCAGCTGGATGTCAATGTCAGCAGTAGGCGGAAGCCCGCCCCTCAAGCGGGGGCGGCGTGGGCGAAAGCCCTCCAACACGGCCCCAACCACTTGGCGTTGGAACTCCAAGGGGCCAGCCACATCGTCACGACCATAGAGATCGGACATTCCGGCAATGGAAGCACGATGATGACCTTGCTGGCGCTGCAGATCCTCACGAATGAGAAGCTGACGCCCGTAGCTGAGGAGGGTGACTTTCAGGGAATGGACACCAAGAAGATCCGGCTTCGGTCGGCTGGATGCAGGTGTGTGCTGATAGCACTCATAGAAAAGTCGCCGGAGTAACACGACTCCCTCGGAGCGTGACAGTGGCGCAAGAAACAATGGACGTGCCGGGTCATCGCCCATCTTGGCCAGCAGAAAGTCGGGCGTGAAGTTGGGGTGAAGCATCGCTGTCGCCTGCAGTGACAGCTGCACAAGATGCAGCCAGGCGTGAGCCCAGCCAGACGCACCACGATGCAGAAAACCGCCCGTGACCGCTCCGAAAGGCATAGAACGCCTTGTGGTCTTGGTCTTGAGGCAGACTCCAAGGAGACACTCGCCTGTAATGCAGAGTCTAGCCGGAGGGCACCAAAGAGCATCAGAAAAGCGGAGCGAGGCGAAAATGCAGAGTAGAAATGCCCCGGCTAGAACGCGCTGCTGTGAGGAGATGGAGCAGTCCAGGACTCTTCGCTCAAGGAAGAGAACAA